GGGGGGGGGGGGGCCCCCCCCCTCCCCCTTCTCCCCTCGGTTTTGGGGGGGGGGGGGGGGAAAAAAAAAAAAACCGGGGCCTTTTTTCTGGGGTGGCCCCGGGGGGAAAATTAAAAATTTTTTCTTTAAGGGGTTTTCCCCCAAAAAAGGGGGGCCCGGGCTTTCCCGCAAAAGGGCGGGGGTTTTCCCCCAAAAGGGGGAAAAAGGCCCGGGGGGGGAAAAAATTTTTTTCCCTTGGGCGGGGGGGGGGGGGGGGGCCCCCCAAAAAGGGGGGGGGGAAAACCCCGCCCGGGGGGGGCCCCCTTAAAAAAAAAAAAGGGGGGCCTCTGGGGGGTTTGAGTTTTTTTGCCCGGGGGGAAAAAAAGGACCCTTTTTTTTTTTTTTTTAAACAGGGGGGGGGGGGGGGGGGGGGGTTTTCCCCCGGGCCCCCCAAAAAAATTAAAAAGCCCCCCCCCCCCCTTTTTTTGGGGCCCCCCCCCCCCTTTCCAGGGGGTTGAATCCCCCCCCTTTTTTTTGCCCCCCCCCCCCCCCCCCCCCCCCCTCATTTTCGTGCCGCTCCAATTTTCCAGCTGCTCGAATCCCTCCCTCACTTTTTGGCTACTGATCCTACCGAGCGCAAGGACATGGGGTCTCTCCTCGACCTCGCCCAGAGCCTGGCTGAGATCAACCAGGACGTGAAGGAGGAGGAAGCTTGAGAGGGGGAGCATGCCCACTCTATGTGCTGGGCTTTTACGACACGTCAAGGACCTCCCGGCTTCGAACAAAGCGCACGTGCGTGCTTTTCAACAAGGCGTGCATGCTTTCCGATTCATCTTATCGGTGCTCGGGGTCATTTCCCCAACGGATGACGGTTTGGTTATGTTTGATCTGTGGAGAAGCGGGAGAAGGGAGGTTGGGATCTAAGGACGAGAGTGGTCGGCAGTTTTTTTTTGCGGCCATTTTTGGCGAAGGGTAAGCATAAGGTTTCATCAACCAGTAGTAGGGATTCCTTCGTCGTGGCCTCAGGAGAGGTTGGAGCTGTATGTCTAGGTGTTGCTTGACTACGGTGTGGAATGAAGGAGGGCAGGGACGCCGAACTTGCAAACCAGAATGCGACGGGTGTGAGTTTACATTGCTGGTTGTGCCATCGCGGAGCGGAAATTTTGCTCTCTATCTGTACCACGCCGTTGGCTGTGCATCGATTTGTTTTTTTTTAGGGAGAGGACGAGAGCGATCGTGGGATTCGGCAGGATTTGACATCCTGTTGTTGTCGACACAGGAATATTTTTTTGTGTGGTCACGGTACGCTTCGGTTCAGTGGTGCTCTTTACTTGCTCACCGTCGTGTGTGATTGATGTCGATGGCGTTTCTGTTTCTTGCGAAGTGCGGCGTTGCACTATGTAGGTTCCATGCACACTTTCTTTTTTTCTACTTTGGGAAGTGTCGACCAGAACCGCGACTCGTACTGATGGCCTGTGTGTATTTGTGCCCAATGCTCCCTGGAATATTTCATAAGAATGCAGGGCACTTCGTTTTCTTTGTCCTCACGTGTACTGTCTGTAGTTTCAATCTTCCTTAAGTGAACGTGACCGGGATTGGAGCTTGTTTTTCCTCGGCCAGAAGCGTACCATGTATTCGGTGAAAACATTTTAGCTTGCGACGTACAACGATTGGAGGGAGGGTGCGAGGGTGTGCCCCGGGCTGCACGCATTTTGTGGCGTTTAGTACGCGTGTACGCTCGTAGGCAGAGTGTCTGATCAAGGGGTGCTACTCGGCACAAGGTTACCGTCACTATGCCCGGTGCGCAGATGTTGTCCCAGCAGTGGGTATGGTTTTGGCCAGTGTCTTAGGCTGGTGCGGATGGCATGCTTTGCACAAGGCTGTCAATGCATGCGCTGGTTGGTGTCGTTGTTGTTCTTGGTGGGTGCATCAATGCGCTCAGCGTTTTATCAACGTAGGCCTCGAGCGGTAGTGACGTCACGACGGTTCATCTAGCTCACCGCCAAGCGTTATTGCGAAACGAGAGGGGATTCTGCCCCTCAAAAAGATCTTCCACTGTTTTCCGAAAGTCCGCCCCCACCATCTTATACATCTGTGGCAAGAATGGGCACACACAGACTGACACATCATGTTTTCATGTCGGCACATGTACCTCGTTGTGATACTCGCGCATGCTGGTCGAAAACAGCATCCTGAATTAATAGGATTAACTCAAGTTCCTTTCTACACCAACGAGTGACGGACACACGTTAGCGAGGCAAGAGCTCCGCCGCATATTATTTGCAATATCCACGTCGTAACCCCCGGAGGCCCGTAGTCGAAAACAACCTCCGAGCACCTCAAGCAACCTCCCTACCCGGTACGAGAGAGGATCTATAAAGAAACTCTCCTCACGAATTACCAGGAAAAACGGCAAATGGACCATAACAAAATTATGTAGAAGAATATGACCTAGACTATATAGTACTTTCGCAACGCATCAGATAGGTTTCCTGTTGCTTCTCTACTTTGTTCGCCAGAGCAGCACGACGTCGACAGCAGCATTCATTCTAAAGAACAACCTCTACGATGTCACGCCCGGAGTCATTTTTTCGGCGGTACATTCGGACATCAAGACAACCATCCCCACCCCGAGAGGGATGTGACCCCCTGGTTGTACTCGAAAAAGGAAAATCATAGCAACCAGCAACAGAGATTAACGATTAAAGAAATCACCAGGCAAGTTGTTCTCGACGCACGACACGCTCTCCATCCATCACGTTCAATTCTTCGGCATGTAGGCGCGATGCTCCCTCCAGTCCACGCTGTCACCCGCCTGCTTCTTCTCCGTCCCGTCCTTGAGGGAACAATTAAAGTTGTTGCGCGATCGCGTTGATAGGCAGCATTGGTTCGGTATTGCTACAGATATCTTGTGTTCCAGGATTTGGATATGTATCCCTAGTTTTGGGCGGGTAGATCTTCTGCTCACCCAACGCATGCGAAAAGCCCCGGATCCACGGGCAGCCAGGATCCCCGAATAGACAAGATCCCCGAATAGATGCTTGAAGCATGCCGTTTCAGTTGGAATTAGTTGCTGGGATACCCTGGGCAGGTGTGCCCCCCCTGTTTGCCAGTTGTCACCGTCCAAGCGAGCGAGCTAAACAATCCAGGTGAGTTCAAGAGAGTATAAAATGAAGTCTACAGTAGAGAGCATCCATCCACGTTAGACACCTGGCACGGTGGGCGGATGCCTCCCACGCTGCCCAATCCCGTCACAACTGGTTTGCGACATCGATCTACTCTGCCTGCAGCTCATTTTCTTCGGTCGCTCTCTTTTTCACACTTGGATACTATGTTCTGGTCCTTGAATTGCTTCGGTGCATGCTGCATGTACTACTTGGAGCTCTCCTGTTCTACACTCGCGGCCACAACTTCGCTCAACGACTCGCATACTTCGCTTACCGTCATCACCCACAAGTAGCGATGACCACGAGTTCGCCCAGTCACCATGCCCAGTCTGGTATTTCGGCCTGCTTCGACAGTCACATTGATTCAGATCGATCCTACTGCTCGGGCACCATCGCCCGCTCCATTTATTATTTAGGTGCTGTTCAATGTGAAGACAACAGCAACTAACTGTAGTTGCCGTGCGCCACCTACAGTACATACATACCTGCTTTGTCACGCGAGCGCTTTATAGTCCATCGAGTTTCCCCACGACCCTTGGGAATCTTCGCCCTCTGCACCCTGCCGCAGATATTACATCCGCATCACAAGAGCTCCCGCTCGGGGGATGAGCAATCCCTGCGTCTGTCCACACAGCCGCAACCGCCCGCCTATTATTTGTTCTCCGACACCGCCGAGGCTCATAACGGCCACCAGCCCGAACCAAACGATGAGCACTCCCGTGCTGACTGTAGGCGCTTCCAGCATCGCTGCTCTACACAGGGTCACATAGGCAACGGTGACTTTGGCTACAACAGCGCGGCTCCCGCTTCTTGTGCCGAAGGACTTGTTTGAATACTTCACCAAAACTTGCTGCCCGGTGCCGCTCTGATCACACACGTCCACCTTTCTCCCGTTGCACATCCAAGGTTGGTTGGCAATGTTTCAACCCGCCCTTGCCACAACTCTTCTTCATGATTATTTTTTCTTCAACCGAAAATAGCAAAAACTTATTAACGCTGTCCCCCAAACTGTACCGAGAAGTGCGTACGTACCTGTACCGACTTCTGCTGTACTTCTTTATGCTTGCTATTTCCGCTGCGAAAGAGAACTCACCTACATGACCAGGCCTTGACCGAAAGAAACGAAGAAAATCCGTGGGTACTATGGTTTTCCAACTTGCTCTTGTTCCTCCTCGGCACAACCGCATTCCGCCGCAGTTCCACATGCACCATGACGCGACAACCCCCACGCCCCACGCCCCACGCCCTCACACACACACCAAAAACCTACCAGATACCGATGAATCTGTGCAAGGTGGAACGACGAAATGCGTTGCCTGCACAGGATCCACGAACGGCCAGTAGATGAAATCGAGGTGAGCAAGTACGAGTCAAAGGACTGTAGGCAGGTACAGATGTAGTAGTGTGTCGTGATCAGATCTCACAACCACTTGGCACCGGCGTCAACCAGGGATAGGACGGGAGGAAAATGTTGCTGCTTGTACAGCTAGCGCGAGTTAAGAAATGGAATAACTCAAAATCTACGAAGTTGAGCACCAGGTGAGACCAAACTGCTGTAGGACTACTGCTGTACAACCTAGCGATAGACGTGACTTGTACAGCGGCCATTTGTAGCATAGACTACAGTCGTGGTCACGGTTTAGCGGTTCCCTGTTTCGCGGGATGCCCTGAATAGCGGTCCCAAAATCTCGTGGCACGGCTGCACCTCGATAGTCAAAACTACTACTGTATAAAACTGCCAATCCGGTTTGCGGCGATGCCCTCAATAGCAGTTACAACGTTTTGTGACATTTTGTGTGGACCGCTAAACCGGGACCACGACCGTAACCTACTTCTGTGCAGCAGTAGAAATAACGTAAGAACCCCAGCCAGCCAATCCTCGAGGTTCTGTCAGTGCGGGTACTACAGGAACATTATGACGCAAAACCAGCGTTCGTGCGTTCGTGCGTTCGTGCGTTCGTGCGGTGCTTTTGGTGTGGGGTTTGCATGTTTGGATGGTGATCATCTGCTCAGTCACATACAAGGCGTTTGGTGACTTTTCCGCCCCGCTCAATACAGCTGTATTGTAGTCTTGACCGATTCCAAGAACGCGGAAAATAATTCTTCTTTCGGTTTCTGTTTCTCTGAGCGCACGCGAGTTTCATTTCTTCTGTTTTTTTTTCGGTACGGCTAAACACCCCACCGGTGGGGTAATTTCTTAACCGCCCCACCGGTGGGGTGGTTAACGCCTAAACACCCCGCCAGCTGTATCTCGCTCTACAAGACTCCAATCAGCACAGGACTTCAATGAATGTGTTGCTGCGTTGCAGGGCTATTGTTGGACCCATCATTGGGCCGAAACGTCACAGTTTTGGAGGTTCCACGGTTGGTGGGGAACATACCGCCGCTACCCCACTGGTGGGGAAGATAACGTTAATGACCCCACCAGCTGGATCTCCCTCTACAAGGCCCCGATCGACACACACGCACCTGTAGGAGTGTGCGGTCGATGCACGCACAGCGCACAGCAGCGGGCAGCACCTGGGGCGGCGAACAGGTCAAGAAATCCCGCCGCATAGCGCCGAACACCTGACGTGGGTAGCGAACACTGCCTTCCGTATTCTTGCACGCAGACTTCCTTGCAGAAGGCTTCGTTCAACACCTCCAGGGACCTACTGCTGGATCTGCCCTCACAACACTCCAATTGACACAAGACATGCACGAATGTATTGCTGCGTTGCAGGGGTATCGTGGGACCTATGGTGAGGCCGAATGATCACGTTTTGGTGGTGCCACGGCCGGTGGGGTAAACGACGAATATTTGACTATGCCCCCGTGGTATATACCCCACCAGCTGTATATCACCGTACAAGACTCCAATCGAAGCACAGGCGCCATGGTTAGAGCGTGATGTTCATGCACCCACAGCGTACACCACACAGTACACAACACACAGCACACACACCGCAGCAGCAGCAGACGCGGGGGAGAACAAGTCGACAAATCCCTTCGCACAGCCCCACACAAGTCAAGCGGATAGCTTGTCTTCC